AAGTTAAATTTAAAGGATCTACAGAAGTTAATCATTGAAGAAGGGAGAGATGCTTTCCAGGTCAAATGAATATAAAAATGCTAAGGCTGGAGAGCAGGAGGGACATGACTTGACGTTCTAAGGCAGCAGAGAGAAGCCCAAGGTGGGCTGTGACCTAACAGCCAACAGGAAGTGGTATGCAGAGAAGTCAGAGAAGTAACTGAGTCATAGAGAAAGCAGGAGAAAACCTAAACTGAGTGGACAGATATTTATTGAGTTTATTTCCTAACCAGTCTCTTTTCAGCAATCTCTCCCTAAAAAGCCTTAAGATAAGGGAATAAATCGGAATATGAGCCTTTCAACTTATTTCAAAAATCTGTTTATTTATTTGTTTGAAATGCAGACTTACAGGGAGAGGAAGAAAGATAGATATCTTCCACCATTCCCCAAGTACCCATAGTGGCCCAGGCTGGACTGGAAGCCGGGAGCTAGGAGCTCCAGCAGCTCTCCAACAGGGGTCCAAGCACTTGGAACATCTCTTGATGCCTTTCAAGGCACATCGGCAGGGAGCTGGACCTGAACTGAACAGCTAGGACCTCAACCATGCTCACAGGCGATGCTGCAATTACAGGTGACAGTCAACATGGGCATGGAATCTGAGTTATAATAACTTCATTTTTTCACAAGGTTCAGCTTATTTTCAATTTGCCCTCCTCATTATTTTCTTCACGTCTATGCTACTCATTTGTACTCCACCTTAATATTTTTTCCACATGTTTTTAAAATTTGAGAACACAAAGAAGATATCATTGTACTTGGAAATTAGACTAAAAAGAAGTACAAAACAGGAAACTTTAAAATGTTGAAATCATAACTTCCAGGAGGCAAAGATTATTTCCTAAAAGACATACTGAAATATATTAGGACTGGGAGAAGAACAGAAAGAGGATGTAAAACTACCAAAGGCCCAGTGCAGTAGCCTAGCAGGTAAATTCCTCGCCTTGCATGTGCTGGGATCCCATATGGGCGCCGGTTCTAATCCCAGCAGCCCTGCTTCCCATCCAGCTCCCTGCTGGTGGCCTGGGAAAGCAGCAGAGGACGGCCCAAAGCCTTGGGACCCTGCACCCACATGGCAGACCAGAAGAAGCTCCTTGCTCTTGGTTTCAGATTGATTCAGCTCCAGTCATTGTGGCTTTTCTAGGCCACAGGCAAGAAGCTACATGGGGAAATTAGAGCATCTGGGACATGAAGCAGCACCCCATGTGGGAACCCAGTAGATGCAAGGTGAAGATTTAGCCACTAGGCTAAAAACAAACAAACTAAAAAGCTACCTGAGGGAAACCTGTCAAAACAACCTTTCTCGGGATCAAAAAAATCATATCAAAGAAGTCACTGGCGAGAAAAAAAATCACAGGCTTTTCATAGTTTTTTAAATATCCTCTTTAGATGCAAAATGTTAACTGGCTTGAAGAATAAATTTATCTGCTTTAAAATGAATTCACTTTTCTCAAACATTTGTGAATGTGTCTATTATAGCAAACAAAATAAAGAGTGTATTCTCAGCATGGCTATTCGAACTCTTCCAGCATATTCAGAAACACATATTCATTACAAGTTATAACAGAATATGTAAATAGTAAGTTTTCTTTGAATATCCCAGCATTTTATATATATAGAATTCAGGAAAAAAGCAATTTAAAATACCAACCTTTGACTAACTTTAGAGGTATGTTTCCAAAGTGACAAGCAGCATGTGCATCTGTTGGTAGCAGAAGTGAGCACTGAATTCTGCTATACCACTTTGAAAACTAACCAATCAGAAAATCTCATTTTTACCTCTTCTTGTCCAAACTGCTCCATCGAATCACAGTAAACTTCACTATCTGAATCACTTGTCAAATGCTGGATTCCTGAAACATCTTCAACATGATCTTCATTTGCATCTAAAAATGAATATATGTTCAGGTCACGCTCTAGCTGAAGAAAAAGACATTTATTCCATTTTAAAAATTCATCAGCTTTGTACTGTTTTCATATTGATAAAAATTTGATTTATCAAGTTACACTCTTTAATATATCACATTTTAGATTTAGTCGCTGTTTTATTTCAAAAGAACACACAAGTTATTTTATCATTAAATGATACGAAGACATAATCCAAATAAAATCATACAAAATTTTACAACTTTATGGGAAAAAAAATCGATCACCAAGAAGGAGACCTCAGTTTGAAACACAGCAATCAACGTTTGGTTGTTAGGTTAAAAAATGATGTTTCTTGGTTTCTAAACCAAATTGTAGCAATGTCAATAATTTATCATATATTATGGATTCACTCCTAGGACAAGAGGGACAAGATATATGCGTGACATACTCCACACACATGTCAGGAGTGACCACATATTCCATATAGGATCAACTCCTAGAATACGAAGACTGTAACTTAGATAATTGACTGGAGAACAAAGGAGTCATATAATCAGAAGTTAAAAGGAGCAACAGGGAAAGCTAAATTTATAAGTTGATTTTAAAGACACAGTAACACGGCAAAAAAAAGTCTCAAAAAAAATAAAAGCTCTGACCCTCATTCATTGTCTAAACTTCAACGCTCTAAAGCCTTATAGTAGCAATAAACTTTAACTCATTACTAAACTCCAAACTGTTCGTAAATATCTTAAAATTATTAAAAGAACATTTTACTCAGAGGAAGGAGTTTAAACAAAGCCTGTTTGGAGATGGTACCTTGGTAAACGCCACTGGTGGTTTTCCCTGCTTGTTCCAAGTTCTGATCCACCAGTTTCACTTCTTCAGTAACGGTTCCATTCAGGGATGCAGTGGCGTGAACATCAGGCTCTACATCCTGAACACAACTGTCTTTATCAGAGCCACTAGGAACAATTATTTCCATATTTTCATGCCCTGATGATTTTGCGACCATTTTCTTATTTTCTAGGGGCAAGTGGAGAGATTCATAAAAGTCATGGTGGCTCGGCTTCAGCATATCACATTCTGTTTTGTTTTGATTTGTATTTTTTAATTGTATATCATATTCTTTTTTTAAAAGATTTATTTGTTGTTGTTGGAAAATCAGCTATATAGAGAGGAGTAGAGACAGAGAGGAAGATCTTCCATCCATTTGTATTCACTCCCCAAGCAACCGCAATGGCCAGAGCTGAGCCAATGCAAAGCCAAGAGCCAGGAGCCTCTTCCAGGTCTCCCATGCAGATGTAGGGTTCCAAGGCTTTGGGCTGTCCTCAACTGCTTTCCCAGGCCACAAGCAGGGAGCTGGATGGGAAGCAGGGCTGTTGGAATTAGAACCAGCACCCATATGAGATCCCAGTAAGTGCAAGGCAAGGACTTTAGCCACTAGGCTACTGTGCTGGGCACAGGCATATCATGTTCTAAAACATACAGTTACTTCTTCAACCAACCAGCATCCTTTCACAGGTTTCATACTTGTGTCAAGCAGATAGGGCACTCCTCACAAAAAGGATTTGCTAAGAGTTCATCCCAACTGTACTAGCTGCAATACCGCTCCATTTTAATACAACTCCTTATAGAAACTGTCTACGAGGTTGGTGTTGTGGCACAGAGGGTAAAGCCACCACCTGCAATGCTTGCATCCCACATGGGTACTGGGCGGGGTCCAACCACTCCACAGCCAATCCAGCTCTCTGCCAACGGCCTGGGAAAGCAGTCAAAGATGGCCCAAGTGTTTGGACCCTTGCCACCTATGTGGGAGAACCCAGAAGTTCCTGGGTCTTGGTTTCAGCCTGGTCCAGTGCTGGCCATGTATTCAAAAGGGGAATGAAGCAGTGGGTAGAAGATCTCTGTCTCTCCCTCTCTCTCTGTTAACTCTGGCTTTCATATAAGTCCAAATAAATCTTTGCAAAACAGCAGCAACACCCTGTTAAAATACTCAGACTCTCGCACACATAAGCAAACTGTTCTGTTAAGTGAGCAGAGGGACGGAGTCCACACCAGGCTAAATTAAAGTATGGGTTTATTTTCTATTTTCTAATAGCCTTCTCCCAAATCATTAGCAAGGTCTCTCTAATCCCAGTGTGTCCTGTTCTCGGGAAGCCACGACACTGAGAGATTAACTTGTTTCCTGTATTTGGTAACATGTGTATTCATATCGGATATAATATAGTAAAACAATCAATGTCTACAGCAATACCCCAGGTACCACATTGGGAGGAGCGGTCTATTCCTGTCAGCTTGCAGTGAACACCTTTTTCATTCATGCACAGCATCAGCTGTCCTGGGCTCAGAAAGAGCCTTTTGGACCCAACAAACCTGGTTATAGGGCCAACAGCCCCCATCCCACCACACACACACTCATCTTATACAATATGGCATCAGCCCAAAGTCTTCATAATCTTGTATGATACTTCAGGAATAATTATTAACCCATTATGCAAAAATTACCATGATTGCTTTGGTCTGCTTTTTTCATTTCTTCTCGGGCCTCCTCTTCCTCAGACTCAGCTCCACTATCGCTGCTTTCAGCTTTGCCATTCACAGTTTTGGCATTTGGAGTGGAAGTTAGAACATTACCAAGATCTAAAACACAGGGAACAGCCACTTAATTATATAACTGATAATACAATAATGGGGTAATTTACAAATAGCATGACAATTTGCAGATGACTAGCAAAACATTTTAAATAACTTTAGTAGTTTACACATAATAGTATTCCTTATAAATATGCATATATCAGACTACTTCAAATACAACAAAATATAAAAAATAAATTACAAAGGGATACAGCTATCTCAAATCCTTTCTGAACAACACAGAGGGTTAGTAGTTTTTAAACCATTATCAATCTACACTGTGCAGTCAGAGTCAAATGCTCTCTCCATCACACATGCACTAGCATGTAGAAAATGCTATTCTTGGTCCAACCAACAAACCCATCAATACTAACAGGCCTCCGTTTAAGCTCACAAAATATATCCCTTTATTGCATTTCAGGCTTCAGGCTCACAACTTACATTATTGTACCTTAGGTTGGTCCTTAAAGCAACAGTACATGGGTCAACGTCTGTACCTATTTTCCATTAGGATCATGGCAGCAGCCTAATTTTGGAATCTCTCCTACTCTCTACCTGACAACCACAAAAAGTGGTAATACAAAAACCAATGGGCCTCTTCAACAAAACAACAGAAATCCCCTAAATCCTTTCAGGATGATGCAGCAAAACTACTTGAGAGCAGCAAACAGTGCAACTGAAGTCCTCTTACAAAGGGAATTACTGATGAACCCTATCCAAGATTTCAAATATAATATATACACCATGTTAATAGGATGGAGGATGAATGCCACAAGATCATTACAGTAGATGAAGATAACACATTAAGCAAATTACAACATTTTCATTTTTATACACTTTAAAATTTTATTTATATTAAAAACTAATTAGGTCCGGCGCAATAGCGTAATGATCAAGGTTGTTGCCTTGAACGAGCTGGGATCCCATATGGACACCGGTTCTAATCTCGGCAGCTCCACTTCCCATCCAGCTCCCTGCTTGTGGCCTGGGAAAGCAGTCGAGGACGGCCCAAAGCCTTGGGACCCTGCACCCATATGGGAGACCTGGCTCCTGGCTTTGGATCAGCTCAGCACCAGACATTGCGGTCAGTTGGGGAGTGAATCATTGGACAGAAGATGTTCCTCTCTGTCTCTCCTCCTCTCTATATATCTGACTTTGCAATAAAAATTTAAAAATCTTAAAAAAAAAAGAAATTCCATTTTTAAAATCCTGAAGAAACTAACAATATAAGAGAACTTCCTCACTTCTATTGAAGGGTATCCATTTTTTTTTTAAGATTTATTTTTATTATTTTTTCATTGGAAAGGCAGATATACAGAGAGGAGAGACAGAGAGGAAGATCTTCCGTCCGATGATTCACTCCCCAAGTGAGCGCAACGGCCGATACTATGCCGATCCAAAGCCAGGAGCCTCTTCCGGGTCTCCCACGCGGGTGCAGGGTCCCAAAGCTTTGGGCCGTCCTCGACTGCTTTCCCGGGCCACAGGCAGGGAGCTGGAAGGGAAGCGGGGCTGCCGGGATTAGAACCGGCGCCCATATGGGATCCTGGGCGTGCAAGGCGAGGACCTTTAACCACTTGCGCCACCGCGCCGGGCCCTGAAGGGTATCCATTTTAAAAACTCGCACACAGCATCACACTGAATGGTAAAAGACTCATCAAATAGGGAACAAGAAAAAGGCATCTGCTGGCACGATCTCTACTTAACCATCTACTGTAAACTGCAGCCAAGGAAATTGGGTAACAAAAGGAAATAAGAGGCATTCAGATTAGAAAGGAAGAAAAAAAATAATCTGCTAACAGACGACAAGCTATGGCACAGAGTATCTTAAGGAGTCTACAAAACTATAAAATAAGTTAATGAGAAAATAGGATAAATACACACAAAATAAAAAATTAAATTACAAAACAATTTATGATGGCATCATAAAAAGCATTTAAGAATACACTTGACGGGCCGGCGCCATGGCCTAGTGGCTAAAGTCCTCGCCCATATGGGCGCTGGTTCTAATCCTGACAGCTTCACTTCCCATCCAGCTCCCTGTGTGGCCTGGGAAAGCAGTCGAGGACGGCCCAAAATCTTGGAACCCTGCACCCATGTGAGAGACCCAGAAAGAGGTTCCTGGGTCCTGGCCTCAGATCAGCACAGCACCGACAGTTGCGCTCACTTGGGGAGTGAATCATTAGACGGAAGATCTTTCTCTCTGTCTCTCCTGCTCTCTGTATATCTGACTTTGTAATAAAAAAAAAGTTAAAATAAAATAAAATTAAAAAAGAATACACTTGACAAAAAAGACTTATTCAGTGCAAATGAAAAAAATGTTTAAAAATTAATGATCAAATAAAAGGAAAGACATCCAACGTTCATACACTGGAAGACAGTACTACTGAGATGGCAATAATTCCAAAAATAATTTACAAATCCTCTGTAATCACTTTCAAAATCCTGGCCTTGCTTTTTCTTTTTATAAACTGACAAGATTTTAAAAATTCAATCAAAATATCAAGTACCACAAACAGCCAAAACAATTTTGAAAAAGAAAAAAATGGGAGGATTTCAAAACCTACCACATAAGCATGATACACCTATGAAACTAATACATCTGTTCCACTGGCACTAAATGGTTACTTCGTTTTTTGTTTTATTTTTTTTTTTAGTTTACTTATTAGAAAGGCAGAATTACAGACTGAGAGGAAGAGAGAGGATCTTCCATTCAGTGGTTGATTCCCCAAATGGCTGAAACAGCTAGGGCTGGTAACAAAGAAGCTGAAGCCAAGAACCAGGAACTTGTCTCAGGGGCCCAAGCACTTGGGCCTTCTTGCAGTGATTTCCCAGACACATGAGCAGGAAACTAAATTGCAAGTGGAATAACTAGTACATCATCTGGCACCCATACAGGATGCTAGTGCTGCAGGCAGCAGCTTAACGCGCAGTGCCACGGGGCACTAGATCTACTTTTCACAAGACTTTTGTTTATCAAAAGTTATGACGGAGTCAGGTGTGTTAGCAGAGTGGTTAAGCTGCCACCTGGGCTGTCCGCATCCAGTACAGGCATGCCTGTTTTCCAGGCCTATTTCCTCCACTTCTTCTCCAGCTTCCCACTGAGGCAGACTTGGAGAGGCAGCAGGTGATGCTTTGACTTGCGGGACACAGACAGAACGCTGAGCTTTGACCTGGCCCAGCCCTGGCTGTTGTAGGCAACTGGGGAATGAACCAGTGGATGAAAGCTTGCTTTTTCTGTTTTGTCTCTCACTGTCTTTTTCTCTCTCTGACTTTCAAATGTAATGAAAATAATTTTTTTTGAGCATTCATGATTGTGAAGTAGTTTAAAGCATGGCAATATCTTATAAAATTATAAACACTGGTCAAATGCTTTTAGCTCCACTTCCCAATCATTACTTCCAGATGCATTTATGCATACATAAAATGACATGTACATGGCTACTTACAGCAGCATTTTTTAAAGATCAAAAAGAGAATCTAATTGTCTATCAGAAGGGTTCAGATTAAACACAGTACAGGATCACATGATCCCTTTCATGTCCTTGGATCCAGATTTTTTTTTTAAAGATGAATTTATTGAAAGGCAGGGTGAGAGAATCAGAGAAAGAGACGGAGATCTTTTGTTCACTGGTCAACAACCTGAATGGCCACAACTGCCAGGTCTGGGCTAAGCCAAAGCCAGGAGCTCCATCCAGGACTCCAATGTGGGTGCAAGAACCCAAGTCCTTGAGCAACCTTCTGCTTCCTTCCCAGGCACATCACCAGGAAGCTGGACCAGAGGCATAGAAGCAGGGACTTAAACTGGTACTCTAAGTGATGTCAATTTTAGAAATGGCGGCTTAATCCACTGTACCACAACACCAACCCCTTAGATACGTTGTGAAACCCCAAGTTTTCCACTTTTTCAAAACCCACTTGAAACATACACCATAGAGTTTATTATGCAATCTTCCCAACACAGGATGGGGGCAGCACTCCTTTTTTAAAAAAAAAAAGTACTTTTGCATTGGAACATGAATAACTCACACTAAATGCTAGGAAAATGACTCAAAACTGGCTGGTATTGTGGTACACTGGATTAAACCGCTGTCTGCAATGCCAGTATCTAAGTGTTGGTTCCAACACAAGCTACTCACTTGTAATCCAGCTCCATGCTAATACACCTGGGAAAGCAGCGGAAGATGATCCAAGTGCTTGGGTCCCAGCCATTCACATGGGAGACTGGGATGGAGTTCCTGGTTCCTCGCTCCAAGCCCAGCCATTATTGCCCTCCAGTAGATGGACAGCATTCTGTCTTGGTTTCTCTCTCTCTCTCTATCTATCTCTGACTTCCAAATAAACATAAACAATAATAAAAAAGATAAAGATTCCAAAGTCCCCAAGTCATTTCATATCAGATTACCCTTGAATGGTTCACATAGGGCAGGATTTGTTGGTTAAATTAGTTTCAAAACAACTTTTGGATTCCAAAGGTTTTCAGATTTTTAAATTATAGCTAAGTAACTATGGACCTGCATCTTTATTACTACTTCTTACTGTTCCTTGCTTTATAATTAGCTGCTTAAATATCTTCGTCTGTCCAAGAAACCTGGACCACTAAAGCAGGTCCAGACTTAACTCCTCTCTGGAAAATGCTTGACAAAATGCTTCAGAGAGAATTCTTTCTTAACTGAATAAGCACAAATCAAAAAGAATTTGCTAATATTTGACTCTTCCATGCACATCAGTGCAGTACAGACTTACACTGTCAGGTGTACATCCACTACAGACATGAAGTATAAGGTTACCATGGTGCAGGAAGACCACTATTCTGGAAAGTTTCAATTTCTGTTTATTATTAAAATATGCCAAAAAGAAACAGGAGGGATATAAACATGGATGCTAAAAAAAGGGGCAAGATGCATTTAGGCTTTTACTTTTATTTTTTAATATGGAACCTGGTGTCAGTCAGGGGTTTTATTTTGGTTTTTAAGAAACAGACATGGGGGTGGGGTTGAGGCTGGGGGGTGGGGATGGAAAGAGATCACTTTTCTGCCATGACCTGGGCTCCCCAGAGGCTAAAGCCTGGAGCCAGAAACTCCATTCGGCTTTCCCACATGGAGGGCAGGGACCCAACTCCTTGAGCCATCACTTGCTGACACGCAGGATGCACAGTGGTCGGAAGCTGGAAGTCGGTGCCAGAGTCGGATACTATATGCAGGCACTCTAACAGAGGACACGGAGCTGACCGGGCTCAGCTACTAAACACCCAACCCCACCCCAGCTCTGTTGATTTCTGTTTAAAGTTTACATAATTTTCATTTAAATTGATTGTGTGGTCTCATTCACTGAACTTATTTTTAAAAAAAATTTAAATACATGTTTATAGTTAACACCAGGAAAAACCTACATTTTACTCAAAACAGTGTCATGCCAATCATTTACTAGGATCCTGAAAACAAAAAACAAACAAACAAAAAACAACAACAAAAACCCACATTAATTAAACCTAGTGATGGCTTAAAGCTTGCTCTGTAAGAGTTAAACCATAAACATATTGATTTTAGCATTACCCAGACTGTAATTGCTAGTACTGATAAAATAATCCATAAAGCCAAACCGATAACATGATCTATTAGGGGCACACATATGGCACAACAGATAAACACGCCACTTGGGACTCCCATGTCCCATACTGGAGAACCTGGGTTCTAATCCCACCTCCTCTCAACTGCAGCTTACTGCACTTGCATACCTTAGAGGCAGGTGATGGCTCAGATACACCAGTGCCTAATACCCCAGTGGGAGACCTGGACAGGGTTCCTGACTCCAGCCAGGTCCTGGCTGTTGCAGCCATCTGCACAGTGAACTAGCAGGTGGAAAATCTCTGTCTCTTTCTTCTCTCAAATAAATAAAAATCAACAAACTTCTTTAAAAAATAATAAAATTATACAATTCATCAAAATAAAAACATGAAATTTTGTCCTGATTTTGTGCATATTTAGTGAGCCATCTGGCATATTTTAATAACTTAAAAACAAGAGTTACAAACTTGGGGCAAGGGGTTGGTATTATGGTGCAGGGGGATGAACCAGGATCTGCTTCCAATTCAGCTTCCTGCTAAGGCACCTGGGAAGGTAGCTGTAGATGGCCCAAGTAGTATGGAATCTGTCACTTCCTGGCCCCTTGCTTCAGCATGGCCCACCTCTGGCTGTTGCAGTCATTTGGAGAATGAATCAGTGGATAAAAGATTCATCTCATTCTCTTTTCCCTCTTCCCCAACCCTTCCACTATGGCTTTCAAATAGATAAAGAAATCTTAAACAAAACAAAACAACAACAAAAAAACAATTCTGAGCAGTTCAGCCTGGGGGTTATGTAGATTAAGAAACTTGTATCCTGTGTCAGAGTAGCTGATTCCACACACCCAATTTGGCTCAGGCTTCAGCTACCTGCCCATGCAGACTGTGGGAGGTTACAGATAAAAGCTCAAACAACTGGTTCCCAGTCACGAGCACCTGGGAGTCCTGCACCGAGCTGCCAGCTCCCGGCTGCAGCCTTAGTCCCACACCAGTCACTGCTCACATTGGGAGTGAACCAGCAGATGAGAACACTGTGTCTCTCAAGTAAATGAATAATAAACATTGTTTTTAGAGTTAAACCTTGGAACTAGCGTGATGGCTCAATTGGCTAATTCTCCACTTCCAAATGCAGGCATCCCATGTGGCCGCCGGTTTGTGTCCCAGCTGTTCCACTTCCCATCCAGGCTCCCTGCTTGTGGCCTAGGAAAGCAGTGAAGGATGGCCCAAAGCCTTGAGCCCCAGAACCCATGTGGGAGATCAAGAAGCTTCCTAGCTTCAGATGGGTTCAACTGTGACCACTTGGGGAGTAACCCATTGGATGGAAGATCTTTCTTTTCTTTTTTAAATGTGATTTTTTTGGTATTGTTTAATGACACAGTTTAATAGGTACTGGGGTCTCCCGTTCTATCTTTCCTCTCCATTAATTGGTCTTCCCAATAAAAATAAATAAATTCTTCATTTAAAAAAGAGTCAAAAACCTCATGTGGTTACATAATATTTTAGAATTTCATACGATGAGTTTAGAATGAAAATTCCTAAGTTACACAAATGTATGCAAAATTCTTTTGGCATGTTACATTTTAAACAACATTTTTACATGGATTTCATTCATCCTACCTTCTAAATACTTAGAGATTTTCTCCAATCGGACTGGCATGTGAAAGTAAAAATATAAATGAGATATTAAATATTAATGTATGCATAGTAACCACGGCTGAATTTCAAATGATAAGATAATCCAACCTGAGGTTAAATCAGAACTCCTGCCACTCTTTTTGTCCTCTACAATTTCATAAAACGGACCTATGACATGCAGCAGTTCTTCAACTTTCTCAGTCATCGGCATCGTCTCAAGAATCTGTAATTAGAGGAAAGAAATATTATGAAATCATAAGCTATAACATTTGATCTCCATTATTATTACATAATCTATGGTTCTAATTTCTCTATCCTTTGGGATTTAAAGTTCATTAATACTCACCCACACTAACGATATATTTAAGTACACATGATGCAGACAAAGCCTTGGTGCTCATCTATTACAGAGCTAGAAGAGTCCTCCATTTGAGGACTACTTTACATCAACTTCATCTAACACTTCACACAATATTCTCCAAATTTCTTCACAGGAAGTCAGGGGCTCTGCTGAACTAGAATTGAATACTGTGGAATTAGAGTACAGTCACGATCCTGTTCAATACCACGGTAGGGTTTATCAAAAAGGCACAAAAATAGAAAATCAGTACTACTTTATCTTTTTTTTTTTTTTTAAAGATTTATTTTTATTATTTTTTCATTGGAAAGGCAGATATACAGAGAGGAGAGACAGAGAGGAAGATCTTCCGTCCGATGATTCACTCCCCAAGTGAGCCGCAACGGGCCGATACTATGCCGATCCGAAGCCAGGAGCCTCTTCCGGGTCTCCCACATGGGTGCAGGGTCCCAAAGCTTTGGGCCGTCCTCGACTGCTTTCCCGGGCCACAGGCAGGGAGCTGGAAGGGAAGCGGGGCTGCCGGGATTAGAACCGACGCCCATATGGGATCCCGGGCGTGCAATGCGAGGACCTTTAACCACTTGCGCCACCGTGCCGGGCCCAACTTTATCTTTTTTTTAAGATTTATTTATTTTTATTGGAAAGGCAGATTTACAGATAGAAGGAGAGACAGAGAGGTCAGAAAAAAGATATCCCATCTGCTGGTTCACTCCTCAAGTGGCCACAATAGTTGGAACTGAGCTGACTCAAAGCCAGGAGTCAGGTGCTTGCTCTGAGTCTCCCACACAGGTGCAGGGTGCCAAGGCTTTGGGCCATCCTGGACTGCTTTCCCAGGTCACAAGCAGGGAGCTGGATGGGAAGTGGAGCAGCTGACACAAACCTGCGGTCATTTAGGATCCTGGTGCATGCAAGGCAAGGACTTAGCCACTAGGCTACTATGCCAAGCCCTTTACCTTTGTACCTGCGAGTCCGTCTGCTTGAAGAGCAAGGAAAATAAAGGAAAAAGCCATCAATTACATAAGCAGCAGCTGGTAATGGAGTAAGGAAGTTAAAGTACTTTCACATTTGGGACATTCTGTAATATTAACGATTAAATTTTGCTCTGTGCGTGTGAATTCAGAAAGTATCTCTAACTTTTTTTTAGAGGGGGTTAAAAAAAGGTAGTTGCTAAGTTGCTATAGAGTATGTTCAATATGATGCCAATACTAGTTCCCTTTCTAACATTTTTTTTTTAGTTTATGTTATTTATTTGAAAGGCAATTTATGGAAACAGGAACAATAGAGAGGTTTTTCTACCTGCTGGTTCACTACCCAAATGACCACAAAGGGCAGAGCTGGGCCATGCCAAAGCCAGGAGTCAAGCGCTTTATTAGGATCTCCCATGTGGGCGCAGGAACCCAAGCACTTGGGCCATCTTCTGCTCCTTGCAGAGGCACATTAACAAGAAGCTGGATCAGAAGCAAAGAGCCAGAACTGGAATTTGAACACAATGTGTCCAGCACATGGAGATTTGACTCATGCCACAGCACTGACCCTTCTTTCTGAATCCATTTACAAAACATGAGTAAAAGTAATTACTAGAGATATGGTGCCATGGTTCAATTGGCTTATACTCCACCTGCAAGTGACAGCATCCCACTTCATATCCCAATTGCCCCACTTCCATTCCAGCTCCCTGCCTGTGGCCTGGGAAAACAGCAGAGGATGACCCAAAGCCTTGGCATCCTGCCATATGGGAGACATGGAGGAATCTCCTGGCTCCTGGCTTCAGACCAGCTTAGCTCCAGTCATTGTGGCCACTTGGAAGATCTTTCTGTCCTTATCTCTCTAAATATGCCTTTCCAATAAAAAATAAAAAATTTCCTTAAAAAATTATTATTAAAGAGTGAAAATGGGACCCAGCACGATAGCTTAGTGGTTAAGGTCCTCGCCTAGAATGCGCCAGGATCCCATGTGGGGGCCAGTTCTAATCCCAGCAGCCCCACTTCCCATCCAACTCCCTGCTGGTGGCCTGGGAAAGCAGTGGAGGACAGTTCAAAGCCTTGGGACCCTGCACCTGTGTGGGAGACCTGGAAGAGCTCTTGGCTTCGGATTGGCTCAGCTCCAGCTGCTGCGGCTGCTTGGGGAGTGAACGATCAGATGGAAGATCTTCCTCTCTGTCTCTCCTCTGTGTGTATATCTGTTTTCCAATAAAAATAAAATAAATCTTTTTAAAAAAAGTGAAAATGGAAAACTTGATGTTCCTTTTATATATTTTTTTGCATTTACACATGTTATTTTTATTTTATTAAAGAAACAAATTTACTTCAATATTTCTAAATTTATTTATTTGAAAGGAAGAGGAAGGAAGAGAGTGCCCATCTACTGGCTCACTCCCCAAATGCCTACAGCAGCTGGGACCAGGCAGGTCCAAAGTTGAGAGTCGAGAACCCAAACCAATCCCCCAGGTGGGTGACAGGAACCCCCTCAGCTGAGTTGTCACCACAACCTCCCAAGGTCTGTGACAGCAGGAAGTCCAATTGGGAACCTAGGTACTCCTCTTTGGGGCGTGATCGTCTTAACAGGCCTCTTACCTACTAAACTGTCTCCATAGTTCTTGCCGTTAAACAAGCAAAAGCTGCTTTGCCTCTTCTGTAGTTTTTTCAGGTTATAGGAAGTTTTTAAGTGGCTCCTTGTTTCTTTAAAATGCACAGATTAGTCATTCTCCCTGCTTTCCTGTTTGTTCCCTCCCTGTCTTGCACAATCGACTGGAAGCTCAAGGAAAAGGGACTGTCATCTGTTTTCATTCACTCTTTCATTCCCAGTGTTCAGAATACAGAAAGTGTTCAATCACTCAGTTTACAACTCCCAAAGTCGTGGGGAAAACAGACGCTCTCATTTCTAAGCCAGGTGCAGGGAGACTGTGACCTGTCTAGGGTAACCAGCACCTGGAGATTCTGAGCTCAGATACGCCACAGAAGCCATCACCCACACAGTGTGTGGGGGGAGACAGTTCTAGGGACAGATGATACAGAAGGAGCGATGTTTACAACTGCTTCTGGGGATTACAAGTTAATGCTATAACTCACTAAACCGTCTAATTCTGTGTGTGTCAGTAAGAGTGAAAAGAATGCTTTAATGCTAAAATTTGCTGAGGTAAATATCTGTTATGAGGTGAAGGATATGGGGGCAGGACCTTTCATAGCTTTCTGAAGATGTCTGGTAACAATTTGGATGATATTAATAATTCTGAAAATTAGGTTCAAATTATAGATGGGAACTAGATAATATTTACTCTGAAGCAACCAAAGTCAGAGCTATAGAATAGCAACATATGGCAAATCCGTAAGTTTCACATCACTCACGGAGCAGAACCTGACAGGCCAATCACATACCCTAGCCTCATTCAACACCTTCTCTGATACCCTCCAAAAGAGAAATGAGTTATGGTTCCTCCTCGGATCTGTCCCTGTGTAGAGCTGCTTCATTTAGTGTTAGGGTTTATGATACCCCACAAGCCAAAGGTGTGACCTTGAGACCTAACGTCAGAAGCAAGTATATGAGTACTGCTAGTATGACCCAACCAAATAACAAGAGTCATCATTCTAGATTTTTGGTAGTGGACACAGTCAATGCTCGGGTGCCCATTGTGAGACACTCCCAGAGTGAAAGACTTCACTCTCAAAGAGACACTTCAAAAAAGATCTGACCAAGAACAGCTTTGCTGTTTGCGACATGTCTTCCCAGACAGCAATGCTGCAGTACAGGAAATGCCACGCGCGTGCCACACACACACTCCCACGCCCACATTCAGACAAGCAAACACAGGCAAAGCTCAGCCTACTTACCCTCAGCAATTCTAGCTGAAGCTAGAAGTTAATTAAGTGAATCAAGTATGTCAGAACCTAGCCAACAGAAACATTTCGCAAATCACACATTCTGGCAAAGCTGCACTGAAAGACATCATTTTTTCTGGGTTTACCTAGCACTCTTCGTGGGTGACACATATCCCTTCCAGATGATGAAAATATCCTGGAAAGGTACCAAGGAATTCGACTAAAGCAAAGACTAAAATCCTCCGGCTTTTCTGGTACAAAACCTGGGTCTGGTTTGGCTTTATTTTTGTGTTTGAAAGGATGAGTAGCAGACAGAGAATAGTTTTGGCCCACTGTGGGGGTGGGGATGGAATGCATACTGTTTTCATCCACCTCACCTGACACTGACCAGAGCATCAATGAATGAAACTAGATAGGAGACATAGAGAAATTCTATTTAATGTGTCCATGTGACTTACTATTACAGAAGTGTATCCTACAACCTAAAATGACACTTAGGTAAAAAAAAAAAAAAAAAAGAAAGAAAGAGTTAATGAAATAAAAAGGCTTTAGATTCTGCCTTTGCTGTTTTTTATATTGCATTTTAAGTATGATACAAAAGTTTCTTTTTATTTTATTATTGATACAGCTAACATGAACTAAACTTTGCCCTTTGTCATAGATAAAGTCCACTAAATAAAAATTGTGAAAATGTAACAAAGGGCACAACTCTGAGTAACATTAAAGGGATTTAAAGAAGAAAACCAAAAATTGGTCTGAATGTGTCAAACAGAAATTACTAAAAAGATTAACTGCAATCCACAAAGAAACTTTCCTTTTTAGAGATTCTCTTTATATTCAAAGATAAAAATTTGAGATTAGCAAATAGACTTAGATTTCATGTCTGAACTATATCCAACATTAAAACGGCCCATTATAAAGAGCCTTTAAGATTATCTTTAAAGTCCGCGATTTCTTCAAAAAGTGATTCCTCAAAACAATGTGCTAGGCAGACTTGAAGAACTGGTGATAAGGAACATCCAAGCTGAGCAGAGAACCCAAGAGTGTCCCTGAGCCGGTTCTGAACCACCTCCACATTCACTGAGAACCTGGCGCTGTGGCTCAGGCACCGCTTCTGACACTCAGAATTCATCTTCCAGGTCTGCTCCTGATATTGCTGTCCTACACTGCCTGGAGGCAGCAGAGGATGGCTCAGGTGGCTGGGTCCCTGAGCCCCACATCAGGAGACTGAGTACCTAGCTCCCAGACACTTTCTATGAACCAGCAGATAGGACGTCTCCTGTGTGTCCGGCTGCACCTCTCTCTCTTAAATCTCCTATGCCATGTGCGAGACCCAGAAGCTCCTGGCTCCCAGCTTCGGATCAGTTCAGCTCCAACCACTGTAGTCATTTGGGGAGTGAACCAGCAGATAGAATATATCTCTTTCTCTCTCCTTCTCACTCTGTAAAATCTGCCTTTCAAATAAAAATAAATGTTTAAATAAATACTTGTTACTGAAAAGTTCAGCGATAGAAGTGTATCAATTAAGTCAAAACTTGTATGAGAGGACCTGGCACAGTAACTAGTGGGTAAAGTCCTCACCTTGCATGCTCCAGGATACCATATGGGCACCGGTTTTGATCCCGGCAGCCTTGCTTCCCATCCAACTCCCTGCTTTTGGTCTGGAAAAGCAGTGGAAGATGACCCAAAGCCTTGGGACCCTGCACCCATGTGGGGAGACCTGGAACAAGTTCCTGGTTCCTGGTTTTGGATCAGCTCCAGCTTCAGCCATTGTGACCACTTGAGGGAGTGAACCAGTAGATGGGAGATCTTCCTCTCTGTCTCCTTCTCTCTGTAAATCTGCCTTTCCAATAAAAATAAAGCTTAAAAAAAAAAAAAAGAAAAACTGTATGACGCATTAGTGAGCAGTTTTGTTTACTATTTCCCTTGAGTTAAAAAAAAAAAAGCCCACAGAAATGTTTTCAAGATAGTTCAGGTACTTTCAGATCCCTGAATAAATTACACTGATATTTTTAAAGTCCTATTCCTATACTTTTTCCAGAAGTCAACTATGGAGAAAGATAAGAAAAACTGAAAACAAATACAATAACAAACACCTTAATGTGGACTCTAACAAAACTATTAAACTCCTAATAAATTCAATAATCCAGATTCCTACAATGCACTACAATCTTGTTTGTAAACAAAGCAGCTAAGCTGGCGGGTCACCTAAATGACAGCTGCTCTTAAATGCTGTCACTCTCCACTGTCAATCATTTCCCTACCTTTTTCATTTCTTCAACATACGCAATCATGGCTTCCTCTTTGGTCATATCACCCAGTGAACTCCAGGCGTCCCTACAAAAGAAAACACCCAAATAACAACAAAAAGACACCTGGCTTTCCATTCGTCAGAATACAATTTATAGTTGATGATATTGGGTCACTAATTTAAAACAGGTTCTAAACCTCAACTTATGTTATATTTCCAAAGGATCTCTGAAAATGTGCCACATTGGAGAGAAGAATCATAAGAAATCAACAAGATAAATTGTAGTCAAAACTAACAACATATATACTATACCTATACTTTAACAGACCATAAAAATTACAAACTACTCATGAATATACGCAAAGAGCTCTTAGCATCACTAAGAGTACTAAGTCAAAGGAACATTTTGGAAGATTATGAACTATCACAGCCTTGTTCTATAAGTGCTCGGAAACCTTTTCCTGTCAAGGACTACCTAGCTACTTCTAACATCATTTACAGAATATACAAAATTATCAACTTCAAAATCAAGGTTTACAGACTTTGAGTCCTGCCTGCAATTACTGTGGCAGGGTCTGACCCAATGATTTCACAACCTTAAATGTTCCCCATCTCAGCATGATCAGAAGTTTCAGTTAAAAGTGTCTATTTATTCATCTACCATTATTTAATTCTAATTTATACATTTATTAAACATGAAAACGGTTTCTCACTTCTAAAAGAATAAAAATAGCAGGAGCAAGAAACTATTTAACCCATTAAAAAAAGAACAGATCTTTGAAATTTTTGCCTAACACAAAAACTGCTAAACTTTGTATTTTTCATCCATTGGGGGTATAACTACCAAAGATCAATTCTAAAGAAAAAAAGAAAAAACATGAAACAAAAAGTAAACTTTCTCAAGATGGACGTATCAAGTAGCACATAATACTTATTTAAACTATTGCTTTGCTATTATTCATAAAGATTCCATAGGAAAGAACAGTACAGAGATCATCAAACAATCTTCCAGTTGTCCATGAAGAAATATGGCATTTCTGGGGCTATTTAGACACAGTTCATTAATTAGCATGCCCTGTTGACAGAATATAGTCTAAAATTTCTTTTAGGTCTTCAATAGTGTGAGGGGTCCACAGCAGTTTGAAACTTTCTAAAGCTTCGTCTTAACATTTATGATTCTTCTAAGCATACTAAAAATCAAAATTGAGTCCCACAGAAGTGGGTTAGGAGCGACAGCTGAGATAAACCCATGTGGCAGGACGGGGGTCAAATTCCTGGTTATTTATTATCTTAAAGGTTCAAAGCAAACACAACCACTGGAAACACAAGTCATTATTTTTCTTGGCAGCTAAAAGAGGCACAGAAGTTGGTTTCTTTCCTTTGGGAATTACCTCTCCTCTCTTCCTGGCTTCCACAACATCTTCTTGTTTGCGTAAAATTGTGTGACAAGGGCACAGAGAATAAAAATTATAACTGGTTCTGTTTGTCCCCAGAATATATAAACATGTGAATCAGAATCATATGACAACTATGTTATCAAAATTAAAATGTTTGTCATCTCTCTATCGGTAAAATTACCATTTATATCTTCCGATAGGATCCCAGAACCCAGGCCTGGTAAGTTTGCAGGGCCCTTCGGTTGCCTGTTTATAGAAGCTATAGAACTTGAGCATCATCTCATTTGTTGGTTGGAATGAACCTATTGGAAACACACATTAAATACACACTCATTTGGGATTATAAATCAGCACACCTTACACAGTACTAACAGTTAGTAACAGTGACTTTTTATCTCAATAATAGTTCAGATAATAACTTATTTCTACCTTATGAAAACAATTTTTTGGTTTTATTAGTTATGTTGCCAATTTAATATTTTTAAATACTGAGACTTTTAATAACAATGCCCACCATAGTTCAGTAGTAAAAGATTACAGGTACATACATGCCGAAGAAATAACCAAACAAATCAGTAAATATCATTTATATCACACCTGTATTACCAGGTAAGAATAACTTCATTATACTTGGTAAAGCTTGTGACAAAGTAGAGCTGAGTAACATAAACGAAAATAAAAATTGTAAGCATACTTGTTCTATAAAAACAGATGATACTGTAGCTATTGTTTTTAAACCGCTTTTTCTAAAAAACTTCATATATTATCCAATTTCTCATGCCATCATTTCTGTTTTCCTAAAAATAACTCATAATATTGTAATAAATTATGATGAAATGTATGCCTTGGTTAATAAACTACAACAATAAAAAAGTTCAACACCTCTTGGCCACATTTCAATTTGGTAAAGAACTTTGGTAAAGTCAACCAGTGTGAACTATGGTACAAAAGAATCAATTTAACATGAAACACATTTCTTAATTCTTGATACAGAAATTCCTTTGAAGGTCACTCTTCATATCAGCTTCTAGCATATTTATAATCCATTTTATGTTTCAAATTTTCAAATTATAATAAGTGCTATAAATTACAAAACTTGTAATTACAGTGAAAATATGTTAATATGTTAATATTTTATAATAACTTGCTGATGCTAGAGATGTAATATTACATTACAGAAAAATAGCAATAATGGCAGCAGTTTTGTGCTCTGCAATAAGATGAAAAAAGAGCAAATGCAATATTGTCCACCTTCACAAAATCTGTATTTATATTCCTAAAAAGTACAGTAGGACCAAATAAAAAGGTTTAGAAAAATATTTGTCTCCAAAGCAGGCTGACAGCTGATTTTGTTTCCCTTTTGCTTTTACTTACATAAAACTTTAACTCAAGTGTGTACTAGATTTATAACAATGATAATTATAAAAATAAGCCATAAAAGTATAGAAAGTATTTCAAAACTTTGTAGATTGGAACTGAAACTGATAACTGGTCATCAAAACCTAGCAGTTAATACAACTTGTTGAAATTACAACACAGACAAGAGGAAAAGTATGTTTCAGATCTGGCCACAAGTACAGTTAATTCCAAAATCATGATCATAATTATTTATAAATGCATATTTAGGAGCACCTATTAGATTCAGTGTTCTAGTGACATGGTCCTTCTTTATATATCCAGAGAGGGAACTGGAGAAATCACCAGGAAAGATGATTACTTACTAAAGACAAAGCTAACTCTAACATGTCAATGTCTTCATAATGTCTTCAGTAGATCAGCCAAATAAGATTTACAAGTGTTTTGACATAGGTGAATAACATACACAAACACACGCAACCTGAATACAAACATTGAGAACCCCTATCAAATGTATTCTATGTAAGGCAGCTGATAAAGTATGGTGTCCTTTCTCAAAGTGCTTCACGGCACAGGACAGGTTTCGTGTAAGTTTCTGAAGTCCTGCCTAAGAACTTCAGTATCTAAAAGCCGAAGTCACATCACGCAAAGATGCCTTAGGCCTTAGATAAAGATAAAGCAATAAAGAGGAATAACAACAAATACCTGCAAGATCTTACTGTCTGTAAAATACTTCAAGGCAGAGCAAAATACCTAAGCAGCAATTTTTAAAAATTTCACAACCCACTTCAAAAAAAAAAAACCCTCTGGCTTCAATGAGTGCTAGTTCAGTTCCAGGGGATAACAGGATCCCGGATGTTATCAATGTAAGTCCCATTTGGCAGAGCATCTGAATTTTGCAACACCCTCAACGATGTTATGTAAATACAAACTATATTCATATTAAGTGGAACGTAATGTCAGTAATGACGGTGTACAGCAGATACCAAAGTTAGCTTCACCGATTCTCAAAAAACTATGCAGGCACATGGTTTAAGAAAAAGATTGAATATACGACCTAGATAAAACTCTTAGACTCATGTTTCTCTGTAAGCTGTTTTAACTGAGCATTTTTAGAAAGACAATGACAATATAAATTCATATGTTGTTTCCTTACAGTTTTATTTCTCTTATCTTAACCCTCCATATGTTCTCCAATACAATGTTTGAAATTACAAAAACATGGCTATTGTGCATATTTGGTTTTCAAAATGTTTTTGAATCTGTACTTAATAAATTTTTATGGGATGAATTGTGGTACATAGTCATTGCTTTGGCAAATGATGAATGGGAACAGAGAACGTAATATTAAATCCTCCAATTTTATCCATGTTCCATCCAGGGAGTTTGGCAATTCTGGCTCAGTAGCAGTACTTACAGGCACTTAAAACATATGTATGTTTACTGTGGAAGAATCATTCTGCCAGTCCAGAAAGGACATGAACTGAAAAACAAAAGCTTCTTCCCCCAAGTCTCTACACTAAAAACTGAAACAAACATTTTAAAATAATAGCCAAGAACTTCCACAACACTGGCCAAATGCCCAACGAGGTCAGACACATCCCAGACAAACTGCTGAAAGACAATGATAAACAGAAAAGCCATGCAGGCAGCTGGAGAAATGACACATGAAGTGAAAGAGAGAAACCAACTGAGCTTTATCCCGAGCAGCCAAGAAGGTACAGTAGGAGAGGGGAAAAAACAGAGAACACGAAAGTGGATTAGGAAGCAAATACACATTGACGGGAGAAAAAAAGGAATTATTTTTCACATGAATATAGTTGTTGTTCCTCTTTTCTCTGTTCCCAACAAAAGTTGCCAAGATCCATAAACTGTGAACTACAATCCGCAGTCCTTAAGCGCCTAACAGAATTCTGCTCATCAGCAAGGTTATTAATTCACCAGCGACAGGTTCCTGTCAATTACGCTCTTTTTCAAATGTATCAAGAAAAAGAGAGAGAAAGAGAGAGAGATAAAAGTAGCGTAACTGAGCCGGCTAGAGCACCTGAAAGAAGACTAGAGAGAGAGAAGCAGGGCCTGGGGCCTCCCCCAGGAGGCAGCTCCGCAAGGGGCGCAGGCAGAGGACCCACCATTTTTCGGCAGACTCTGGATCACCTTCACGGCCGCCTCGAACCTGGTTTCGTGCACCGATCTCGTGCCCGCCATGTCCAGCCGCCAGCGCCGGCCTCCGTCCCAGGGTAGGTCCGCGGGAATCAGGCAGCAGCAGCACCAGCGTTCCCAGGCGCCTGCATGCAACTGGAACATGGAGCGCAGCCGCGGATCAACATGCCCCACGGGGAGGAGGCCCGGGAAGCGCGCCTGGTCAGCTCCCTTGGCCCGGCCCTCCCTCATCCAGGCCACGCCAGGCCGACGAGGGTGGCCCGGCTCCTTCCTCCTCCTCCTCCTCTTCTTCTTCCACCTCCTCCCCTCCCACCCTGGCGAGCGCAGGGGCGTGCCCAAGGCCGAGGACCTGACCCCACACCCACGACCACTCACAGCCAAGAACAGCATCTCTAGCAGCCGGGGGCCCAGGGGGTCCGGCCGCCGGGGCACCCTGGCCGAGCAGCCACACCCCCCATTCCCGCCGAGTCCGTCGGTCCGTCCGCGCCCCGCCGAAACCCCACCCTCCGACGACGATGACGACAGGGACGCGCACGGGGGGTCTGGCCGTCCCCCTGGCAACCGGGAGAGCAGAAGGCCCGGCGGTCCTCGGAGGACGCTGGGCTCCCCATTTGTCCAGGCGGGGAGATGGAGGTTGCGGGGCCCGAGCGCGCTGAGGGGTTCCAGGGGGGCTTCCCTCCAGGCGGGACACGCCGTACCTGGGGCGACGGGGAAGGCAAGACGGCCCCCACGGAGCCTGCCTTTTCGCAGGGTCCGGTCTGAGGAAGCTGAGGGAAGGGAGTGGTCGCAAGGCTTCAGACTTGGCGTCCTAGCTGCCCCAAGAGCTGACCTCTCTGGTTATGACCATCACACAAGCGACCACTCTGACGGTGGGAGAAAGGGTTTAGGAACCTGTTAAGGAGATGCTCAGCGTGTCCCTGGAAACATCCCAAACCGGCCTAGGCTCACATCCAGCTCGATTTCAAACTCCCCTTCGGAGAGGGGCGAGGAGGGCACTCGGGGGGCCTCCCCACACCCGAGAAGGGGGAGCCCCAGGCCGCTCCCTTCCTGGAGCACAACCCCTCAGGTCCTTCCTCTCCGGAGAGGGTGGGGCATAGGGAACGAGGTACGGGTTTTGTTTGTTTTTGGTCAGTTCCAGCCTCGGTCGGAAAGTGACAGCCCCGGGGGGGCACTCTGGGATCCAAGCGGCCGGTCGCCGTTTTACCTTGATCTGGCCGGGTGAGGCCTGTCCGGTCACGTCCCTGCCGCCCGGCCCCGCGGCGTGATGGGAAATGTAGTTTTTTCCGCTCGCACACCCCAACACCCCGCCCTGTGTGGCGCCCGGCGTTCTTCCCACCTGTTCCGGTTCGGTGCCTGGGTGCCGTGGACACTCGGACGGGCTATGGACACCCCTTGCTCGTGGTGGGGCGCGTTGCCGAAGGGCACTCCCCCGAGGTGGGTGTTCGGCGGTGTCAGAGGGGGTCCGTGTAGGATGGACGGCAGGTGTCTTGGCGTAGGTCCTGGAACCCTGATGGTTGGACCAGCTTTGAGTTGTGTCTATTGCAGAGAGCCTGGGATTTGCCAAGCGTGTTGTGCAGATTCCAGAAACGCTCTAGGGTGTTTAGGCATGAGGAAATCGAGCCTTACGATTAACTGATTTGCCCAAGGTCTCACTGTGTAGGGAGTGGCAGGGCGGAGAGCCAGGGAGTCCAAACAGCTAGCCTTAAGTCTTGGACTTCGCCCCGTGCGAAGATCTTGAAAGGATCTCTTGAAAGGAGATCTTGAAAATTTCTAATCTCCAACAGGGAAACAGGGAAGACTTAGAGTTTAAGGCTTCCCCTACACCTTGCTTATTTTCTTTCTTGTATACCTTCCATTCTACCCACTCATGAGTTCGTATGAAAAGTATTTTTGTGTGCTGAGTCCTAATAGGGAACTTCATTTTGACCATTATTCAACTAACTCCAGTGTATTTTTTTTTAAGATTAAATCATGATAAGTACTTTTTGCCAATCCATGATTGCTGTTGAATTTCCACATGGTGGTGTATGTATTTTAACTAAAGAAGGATAACTTAAGGATAAAGAAAGCAAGTTATTCAGGTAAATGAATTTTACTTTAGGGCACGGAGGAATATCTTAACGACTAAAGTGCTTGACTTGTGTGCTGGAATCCCAGCAACCCCACTTCCCATCCAGCTCCCTGCTTGTGGCCCAAGAAAGCAATGGAGAACAGCCCAAAGTCCTGGTACCCTGCAATCATGAGGGAAACCCAGGAAAAGCTCCTGGCTTTGGATTGACTTTTTTTTTTTTTTTAAAGATGTATTTATTTTATTGGAAAAGCAGATATACAGAGGGGAGGAGAGACAGAGAGGAAGACCTTCCTTCCGATGGTTCACTCCACAAGTGGCTGCATCAACTCTAGCTGAGCCAGTCCGAAGCCAGGAGCCTCTTCCAGGTCTCCCACTCAGCTGCAGGGTCTCAAAGCTTTAGGCCATCCTCGACTGCCTTCCCAAGCCACAGGCAGGGAGCTGGATGGGAAGTGGGGCCGCCAGGATTAGAACCGGTGCCCATATGAGATCCCAGCGTGTTCAAGGTGAGGACTTTAACCACTATGCTATTGCACTGGGCCCTAAAAAAGAAATTTTACTGTATCTTTTTTGTTTGTTTGTTTGTTTGTTTGTTTGAAAGGCAGATTTATAGAGAGAAGGAGTGAGTGAGAAATATCTTGCATTTGCTGGTTCACTCCTCAAATGACCACAATGGCCAGCGCTGAGCTTATATGAAGCCAGAAGTTTCTTCTGAGTCTGCCCTGAAGGTGCAGGGACCCAAGGCTTTGGGTCATTCTCTGCTGCTTTCTCAGGCCATAAGCAGAGAGCTAGATGGGAAGTGGGGCAGCTAGGACAGGAACCAGTGCCCATATGGGATCCTGGCACATGCAAGGTGGGGATTTAGCCATTGAGCGATTGTGCCGGGCCCTTGATAATGTTTTTTAAAGATGTTTTCAGGTAAAATGGGCCTGTTTTTAACAAACGATCATTAAAAAAGGGACGAAGAATACTTTGTGGACATTTAAAAATCATTTATTTTAAATGCAGAGTTATATATAGAATCTTTTATCTGCTGTTTCATTCCCCATATGGCCACATTGGCCCCGGCTGGGCCAGACTGAAGGTAAGAGCCAGAAGCTTCTTTTGGATCACCCATGTGGGTACACAGGCCCAAGTACTTGGACCATCCTCCACTGCTTCCCCCGCTGCATTAGCAGAGAGCTGGTTGGAAGTGGAACAGCTAGGGTACAAACCATAACCCAGATACGATGTTCTGCAGGCAGAGGCTTAACTTGCTAACATCGACTCCACATTTTATGTCCAAGTAATGTCCTTGATACCAAAGTTACAAATCCAGTCAAGGAACTCAAGACTAATGTGGTAAACAGACATGTAAAATGATAATTAGAACGGAACGCAAAAGTTAAAATTGTAACATATTAAAATGCTACACTTATGTGTATCAGAAGATACATTAAAAATGTTTATAATAGCACTATATTTGGTAACAGACAAAACTTGGAAGCCACTCAAAGACCATTAGAAGTAAAATGCATAAACGTGGACTTCTGAGGTATAATGAGAAGAAATGAACTGGGGTTGGCGCAATGGCATAGCAGGTAATTCCTCTACCTGTGTATCCCGTCTGGGTGCTGGTTGGTGTCTCAGCTGCTCCACTTCTGACAAAGCTCCCTTCTGTGGCCTCGAAAAGAGCCAAAGGATGGCTTAAGTGCGTAGGCCTCTGTACCCACACGACAGACCTACAAGAAACTTCTGGCTTTAAATCAGCTCAGCTCCAGCCGTTGCAATCATTTCGGGAGTGACTAGTGGATGGAAGATCTTCTGTCTCTCCTTCTCACTGTAAGAATCTGTTATTCAAATGAAAATAAATTTGTTAAAAAAACATATGAACTATAATTATGCAACATAATTTAACATTTTATAAGTCTCACAATGTATTGTTTAGCAAAAAAAAAAAAAGCCAAATTAAAAGGAGAATTACAATAGATTCTATTTAGATTAAGTTAAAAAACAAAACCACCATCTTGTGTTAGAATTCAGACAGGATGTCTAGTATCTGGAAGGAGACCAAGGATCTTGTGGGGTTCTGATATTGCTCTACTTTTTTTTAAAAAAAAAAGTATTATTATTATTATTATTATTATGAAGACAGATATACAGAGAGAAGGAGATACAGAGAGAAAGATGGGCAGTCTGCCAGTTCACTCCCCAAGTGTCCACAATGGTTGATGCTGAGCTGATCTGAAGACAGGAGCTTCCTTCTAGGTATCCCATGCAGGTGCAGGGTCCCAAAGTTTTGGCCACAAGCAGGGAGTTGGATGAGAAATGGAGCCAGCACCCACTTCCCATATGGAATCCCGGCACATGCAAGGCGAGGACTTTAAGCATTAGGCTACCAGTGCCAGGCCCAGTGCTCTACTTCTTAAATATGCAGCTGGTTACATGACTGTGTTCATGTTAAAACTCCCAAGCTGTGTTAAGATTTGTTTCCTGGGCTCGGCAGTGTGGCCTAGCAGCTAAAGTCCTTGCCTTGAACGTGCCTGCAATCCCTATGGGCGCCAGTTCTAATCCCGACAGCCCTGCTTCCCATCCAGCTCCCTGCTTGTGGCCTGGGAAAGCAGTCAAGAATGACCCAAAGCCTTGGGACCCTGCACCCGTGTGGGAAACCTAGAGAAGTACCTGGATCCTGACTTCAGATAGGCGCAGCATTGGCCGTTGTGGTCACTTGGAAAGTGAATCATCGGATGGAAGATCTTCCTCTCTGTCTCTCCTCCTTTCTGTATATCTGGCTTTGTAATAAAAATAAAATAAATTATATATAAAAAAGATTTGTTTCCTTTAGGTATGTTATATTTCAGTTAACATTGATATTAAATTTTTCCCAACCAAAGGTGACTTGGTCAACATATATGTGAAGAGATGCTCAGTATCACCAGCCATCAAGGAAATGCAAATCAAAACTACAGTGAGGTACTATCTCCAGTTAAAGTGGCTATCATAAAAACAAAATCACCAGTGGTGCTGAGGATGTGGGGAAATAAAATCCAGATTGACTGTGGGAATGCAAATTAGTACACCATTATAGAAAACGATGACTAGATCTCCCACATGACCCACATCTGCGCCTTCCAGATATTTATCTGAAGCAAATGAAATCAGCCTACCCAAGAAATTTCCTACACTTCCATGTTGGTTGCAGCAGTCGTCACAGTGGCCAAGATAAGCAGTCCACACAGGTGTTCAGCAGTGGATGAGTGGGATAAAGATAACATGGCCTGTGTGTGATGTGTTATCAAGGCAAAACATGAAACCCTGATGTTTGCAGCAAAATGGATGGAAACGGATAGCATTACATTAAATAAGCCAGATAAGAAAATAAGGACCATAATGTTCTGTCTCGCATGTGAAAATCTTTAAAAGTCTATTCAGGCAGTCCCGGTGCTGTGACCTAGTGGCTAAAGTCCTGGCCTTGAACACACTGGGATCCCATATGAGCACCAGTTCTAATCCCAGCGGCCCTGCTTCCCATCCAGCTCCCTGCTTGTGGCCTGGGAAAGCAGTCGAGGACAGCCCAAAGCCTTGAGACTCTGCATCCGCGCGGGAGACCTGGAGGAAGTTCCTG